AAAAAAAAAAAAAAAAAGGATATAAATACAGACCGGTGAGCAGGAGAGACGCGAAGGCCAAGGATATAGGCGAGTTTAGTGAAAACAGGGAGGTGGTGGTTGGTAGAGTGATGATGGTGGTGGTGGGTTTTGGGATTAGGAGGAGCGCGGGAGAGCTTTTGACCGCATGTAACGGTTTTGATGCACCCTCTAATCATCCCCACTATCTCGTTCTCTTCGCCCGTTGCCGCCACCTGTTGAAACGCCAACAAACGCTCATAATGAGTGTGAGACACAAAACCATAACCAACACCAAATACCAATAACTTTAGAATTTAATGATTTTGTTATAACCTACACACACACAGAGAGAAACAGAACAGAATGCAAATACCAAAGGAACAGAATAGAAAAGAGACAAAAAGAATACCATACCAGCATGAGGAAAGCAGGGGAGTTGCGGACCCTGCAAATTGGGTCACCTAAAAGGTCGGTGAACAGACAAAGCTTGCCGCTTGGTCCGACTTCGCACCGCCGCTCCACATCTTCGACGCTCTTACTATCTTTACTCGCATCGAACTCTCTAATCACTATGGAATCTCTGTTTCTAATCATTTTTTTGAAAGTTGAAATGAAAAGGCGATGAGGAAAAGAGAGAAAGAGGGAGGAGAAAAACACATGCAGCTGTGGATTCGAAGAGGAAACAGAGGAGGGGGTTTTATAGAGTGAACTCCCCACACACTCACTGACTCACAGCCTTTTCGAGGCCCGGAAAGGGGATATCCAAATAACGTGGGCTATAAGAAATTAAAGCAGAGGAATTTTAGAATTTGGAAGAGAATGAAACGACTTCAAACCAAAATATATTGAATTGGGGTTTGGCCAAACTAACAAACAAACAAAAATAAAAATAAAAATTCATTAATAATATTAGAAACGGAACCCAGACACAGAGGGGAGAGAGAGAAAGACAGAGACAGAGTAAAAGCTTTTAAGAGGAAGAGGAAATGGCGGCTATGGCTGCGCAGTGTCGTGCATTTAAATTAAATCCCTTTTTCATTGGGTTTTAAATCATTTATTTCTATGAAACCAGGCCTCCCCCATCATCTCATCTCATCATCACCTTCCTATAATCATTACGCTCTTTCTCCATTGCCTTTTCAGTTTTTTTTTTTTTTTACCATTTTACGAAACAAAATAAAACTGCTCCACCTTGATCATCACTATCACGTTCATGAACATCCTCTAGGGTCACAATCATCGCGACCCTTGTCATCATTACTGACGGCTGAGATTTTGCCACGAAAAGGGTGGCTAGATTTCATTAAGGACCCCTACCCCTGCCCTTCTCTTCCCTTCCCTTTCAGAAAAACTGCCACCGCAGTCCTACAGATGATCTGAGAGCTACCCTTAGCCTCTGGACACGATTTACTTCTCAAATATATATATTTTATTTTTTTCTAATTGCTGTAGGAGCATGGTAGGTGATGATGAGTTGGCAGAGCATGGCAATACCGTAATTATCTCAAACAAGAGAGCCACTTTCAAAAGGTTCGAGATTACGTCACCGCTAACCAAATGGGTACTCACATTACCAATTAATTATCCAATCATTTACTGTTAAACTTGGAATAATTAATTAATTAATTAAACTCCATTTTTTTGAACCGCCTTTGGTGGGCCATGCATAGCCAGTATGCCTGAACCCTCCCAAAAATTTCCCCCAATTTTATTTTTTAAAATAAATAATGGGATTATATTTTATTAATCACAATTATGTGCTAATAACCACTTTAAAGAGAAGGAGAGTAAGAAAGTCAACCAGAGAACACTCTCCCCCAAGTCTTGACTTTCATAGATATTTTCCTTTTCTTTTTCATTTTTTTATTTTATTAATTTCCATATATTTTGATTCCTTTCAAACCTTAAAAGAATCTAAATTTGGATAATTAAATGGTATTGACAAACAACCCACCGACATCATCACAAATTAATCAAATTAAACTATCCATTTCATTTCACTTACCTTTCTTGGAACATTCATGAGTACCAACAAAATTTCAGCTACTAAACTTAATTAACTAATTTAATTATAACCCATTAATCTCCCACTTCAAATATATTTAGACCCAAGTTGTCAAATTTCTCATACTCTAAACACAATAATTAGTCATTTTTTTAAGCAAAAGTGGATCCCCTTTCCACTAAACTAGAAAGTAATTGGAATGATAATAAACATTGCAGGTAGCCACCCATCCAAGTTGCTCAAACGACACTGGACTATATATATATATATATGAAGATAATATTAGAAGATGAGAAGAATAGGGGCAGAAAAAGGAAGTAGGGCCTAGAGATGATATTGAATGATGTTTGATATTGGCATTGAATGCATATTATAAAACTATGGTACATTCAAAGTACACTTTAATTTGCATATCATTTTATCCCACCCCTTTTTTCACCTTACCTATTTATTTTGTCACGAGGATATACTTTCTAACAAAAATA